AAGCCTTACCCTAATCAGGTATATATTTCTTTGATTACATATAGCCACTATGGTAATTTCTAAAGCACAGTATAATTTAGATAACTGAAAATATAATACCTTTAGATCAGGTTTGGCATACCTCATCTATAATTATTTACTCCTTTCCAGAAATGTAACCCACCATTAATTTTAAAAAGCACTACATTTTATTTTACCTCTCTTGGCAAAACTGAATTTTCTGTAGACTTTATACAACTTCTCAACATATCAAGTGATAGTGCAGGTCACCAGATGTCCTGATAAGCTACCAGACTCAGTTGACATCAGATAAGCTTATCAAAGATGTGTCATCTAGCCTCCTGGATTCTGACCCAGTGTTTTGCTCCTCATGCGAGAGAAGAGACTGGCATTTGTTCTACCTTTGGTGTGCCAGCATCATCCATGGGCTGAGTGACTTCAGTTACTTTCTGCACACAAAAACCTTTATATTTTTTTTAATGTGTTTTTCTTCTTTCTGAAGTTTCCAATAATTTGTTACATGAAGCATTCTGACACATTAAAAACAAATTCTTTAGATATGCTGATAATGTCTTAAAGAATACTATGTTGCATAATAATGTTTTCTTATTTTAGAAATTCCTTTCAAGTTAAAAAAAGTAATTGGTACCAAACTGCTCCAGACATATTTTTTCTGAGATATTGTGTACAATAAGTTTATAATATGGACGTTTTCTTCATCTCAGTGCCCATACATCATCACACCACTCGTTAATGCTGAGTAAACTTAATTAGCCATTGTGAATGTGATTTTTTTCCCATATTTGATGTTATAAAGGATATTCACAAGGCATGAGTGAGATTGTTATCACTAGCTTCTCCCATCTTCTGGCCCCTCATACCATTTATAAATAGGAAAAGGACCATGAGAGGCCACTAGATCTGATTGAAATTGTTCTTCCTAGAGAATCTAATTCAAGTATGTTTCATAGGCAGTTTGAAGAATGTCATCAACTTGTATAATTTATGCATAGTTCAGTGTTTTGTTTTACATCTTACTAGAATAAAATGATTTAATACATTATCCATGATTTTGCTCATCTTCTAACATACAGCAGGCTCCAGCACAAATAATACCCCTTTTTATTACAAAATCATAAGCACATAGTTCTGTAACATAACAATATCACACTCAAGCACAACATATGATGTATGATGTTTAAAGTGAAATGTTCACATTAAACTATAAATTATTACACCCATATCATCACCCTACCAACCACACTCAAGCAGGCATTACTTCTGCAGAACCCTCCTTTATGACAGTGTAGGCACTACATTACCCTGGCAGTGGTTGCCGTGTGTCTACTTCTAGATCATTCCATTTCCTCTCATTTCTTGATGATTTTTGTTCTCTGTTACTCTTTTTAATACCATTCCTATCTCAGTTCCTGGCAATTTTGATACACATGAAAGAGCTCTTGCTAAAGACCAGCTCATTGCCCTTCTCTCCTCCCATGGTTTTGTCCTACATTTCTCACCCGTTGGCTCCTAATCCTATTCTTTTTATAGTGTCATGGCCTATAACTGCACATCTTGTGTAACCTGTTTCATATATCCCCATCTGACTACCACCTGTACTTATATTTCTGACTTTCTCTCTCTGCTATCTGCTAATATCAAATATTACTTCGATTATTTTTAAGTTTGTGCTATGGAAGTTTTCAAAAGTAGGAAGAATAATAAAGAGAATTCTCATATACCATCAGCCAGCTTCAACAATTATCAGTTCATTGCCAATTTTGTTTCATCTATTTTAATGTGAGGTAAATATAAGGCAACATCTTTTTGCATATTATATATATATATATATATATATATATATAATGATATCTTACCTTATTTTCTTTATATATTACAGTGAGCATAAAAAATCAACAATTCCTTAATATCTAACTATCCCTTAACCCCAGCAAGACCTCAGGTTCATTAATTCCACCCTCATTTCACACCCTTCTTATTCATGACATCCTCTTTTCCTCTCTTTATCTCCATTTCACATGCACCTTTAATTCCACTTCCTTTGCCCACTTTGTTACGCTCTCACGGCCAGAACTGCATCCATGGTTAAATGAAACTCTTTGCCTGTTCTGTGCTTGTACCCTTGCAACTGAACAAAGTTGAGAATAACTCACAACCACACAGACTGGTCTCATTTCAAATTTATATCCTGGTAAGTGCTGGTACTGCCCTGAAATCATACTATATTTCTATAATTTATTCCCTTTCCAACCATCCTAGATGACTTCTAATGCCCCTTTTCTTCATACCTTTGACATGTCTTCTGTAACTCACCATCTTTTCAGTTGAAGATCTTGCCAGTTCACTGAGAAAATTGAAGCATTCAGAAAGGAACTTCACCCTAGTACCACATCCCTATTGGCTCTTCTACCAGCATCTGCACGCTTATACTTGGCCTTCTGGCTTGATAGTACAGATGCTCTTTTATGTCTGTATTTTCTGTGCTCTAATGGCTTTACTTTTTTTTACTAGATATTATCTTTTATTGCCTACTCAAAACATTGCTCCAAAAATTCTCTTCTTCCCCACCCCATCTCCCACCATCGCTTGCATCATTAATTTTCATTCTCTATTGGAGCTTTTCATTGGCATGTAGACATGCTGTTAATTCTCTCACCTAAAAAGAAAAGAGAAGATACAACTTCTCTGGACTCAGCTTTACCTACCTCTCCATTTTTCTGATTTTTATTGTAGCCAAATTACTCAAAAAGAGTTACCTATTCCTGCTTCTCTCGTTCCCTCCTACACCTCTTCTAATAAACTGTTTGCTTTTACCACTCCACTAAAACTATACTTGTAGAACTCATCAATAACCTGTATAGTGCTAAACCCAATGAATAGATATGATAATCCTCATGTTTGTTGGCCTAGTAGTAGGGTTTGACACTCTTGAGCACACCCTCCTTCTTGACACACTGTCTTACCTTAACTTCCCAGATTGCTACCTTCTCTTTGTTTTCTCAGTCTCCTGTGCTGGTACCTCTTCTTGTCCCAGGGCTCAGTCCTTTGTCTTTTCTGTTTATCCAGTCTCTTTGGTGACTTGTATTTAGTTGTCATCTCTACACCATGGATATCCAATTGACATCTCTGGCCTATACATTTCTATTCAGTGTTCCACTTGGATATCTAGGCATCTCAAACTTCACTTGCCTTTTTAAACTTCTACCTAAAATTTATGTAGCTGCACTCTTCCCTATTTCAGTTGAGGAAAACTTGGTTCTTCAGGTTGAGTCATCCTTTTTTTACCTTTTTTCTCTCACATCCCATGTTTAATTCATCCAGAGGTCCTTTTGGCTCAGAGATGTCTAGTATCTGATTCTTTATCACTGATAGAAGCTAGGACCAGCACCAGCACCTCTGACTGAGTTGTTCTAATAGTTCCAAAGGTCCTTCCTGCTTCTACACTGGCTCTGACCCTTAAAACCTGTTAGTCTGTTGTTACACAGTAGCTTGACCAATCCTTCTCAAACCTAAATCAAATCATTTTATTATCTCAACATAAAAGCCTAACAGCTTACAATTTAATTCAGAAATGAAACATAAGTGCTGAAGATTCAATAATGCCTTCAAGGCATTGCGATTACTCTCCTTTTCTCATTTATTTTTACTGTCCCTTACTATTTCTTGAATGTGCCTGGCATGCTCCTGACAAAGGGCCTTTGCACTGCTGGTGTCTTCTGCCTAGAACATAATTCCTCAAGATACCCACATTCATGACTTCCTCAATTCCTTCCATGTCATTGCTCAAAGGATACTTTCTCAAAGAGATCTGAAACCATTCAAACCCATCCTCAGTCCTAGCTGGTGTGACTCAGTGGATTGAGTGCAAGCCTGCAAACCCAAGGCTTACCTGTTTGATACCCAGTCAGGGCACATGCCTGGGTTGTGGGCCAGGTCCCCAGTAGCAGGGGTGTGAGACGCAACCACACTTTGATGTTTCTCTCCCTCTCTTTCTCCATTACTTCCCCTCTCTAAAAATAAATAAATAAAATATTTTTAAGAAACTGTCCTCAGTTACTAGGGGCCCATTATCCCCTTTATCCTGCTATATTTTTCCTAATAAAATTATCATCTTATAGATTATCATATAATTTATCTATTTAGTACATATGTCAGTTGCTGATGGTGTCTTCCCCCATTGGAATGTAAATTTCACAAAGCACTGGGATTTGGTCATTCTGGTCTGACACACAGTAGGCAGTCAATAAAATGATTTTTCCCTTTTAAGATTATTTCACTCCCATTGCTCCACAGAGTCAGTAATGGTTATTTTCCCAACAATTAACTTAGACTCTCTCAATTTTTTGTGCCTGTTTTTGGATATTCCCCTCTGCCTTTACCTTTTTAATTATGTTCCAATTTTGTCTTTTTTTTTCTTTCTTTTGCTTACTCTATTTCCTAAGCTTATTTTAGGCACATGTATTTAATTTTCTGGTCTTCAAGCCTTTTTATACCCTTCCTCATCTTAGGTCCTTTCTTAGTTATATTTCTATTTCTAGAAGAATTGTTTTCTCTGTCCCAGATCTCCAAGACTTTTATTCTTAACAACTAGTTCCAGAAATCTTCCTTTTCTTTGGAAATGTTTCCCAGGTAAATTTGGAGTACTGATTTCCACCCTTCATCTACCTGTGCCCTCCATCTACCCTGCAGGCAACCTTGTAATCCATGATTCCCATTGGCACATCACTTAACATTGTACTGAAATGCAGGCTCCTTTGGACTCAAAGCTAGTATGAAATTAGTGTTTCATATCTGTGTTTTTATATAGGCATTTGTTTATTTTCAACTTACTTTTTTATCTTCTATATTCATGTATACATTTATGTGTATTATATTATGTATTTCATTTTCTATTTTACCCAATTTTTATTGAAAACATCAATTTCTAGATCTTTCCCTATTGGATATCTAAAATTGTTTGATATTCTTATCTTTAATAGGTCATTGCTTTAGTGATGGACATGTTTACAGATGTGGACATTTTCAAAGAAATAGTGGAGGCATCAACTCGCGGGATATCCGTATACATTCTGCTCGATGAATCCAACTTGCATCATTTCCTAAATATGACTGAAAAACAGGGTTGTCAAGTTCAACGTCTCAGGGTAAGAGTTCTGTTGTTTTTCCTCAGTTGTTATTTTTACAGTTTGTGTACTATTTTTATCTCAGTCAAATTCAAAACATATTAAGCTATATTACTCCAAAAGTAAAATAAAAAAATGTGTGTGTGTGTATAAAATTTAAGATGGAATAATGATTGATCACAAAGGGTCTGTTTGTACTCTTTTGAATGTAACTGAAAACACACATCTGCATAACAAATTTATATGGTGCTTTTCATGATAGTGAGACCCTTGAGCTTCTGAGCTTATTTTGGCAGCCAGTCATAATTAATGCATCTGTTTTGTATGTGCAACCTTGAAACCACCAACTCCAGTGATTTTTTCATTCAGCAGATATTATTTATCACAATCATTTGGTATAGTGATTTCAGTTACATTTAACTTTTTAAAAGGCAGATGCATTTTAATTTTAGTTATTTTGACATGATGAATCTATAATCTGAAAGGATCTTGCAGTAGGACCCTAAGTGATTTATAAACCATCCTGTATAAATGTAAAATAATATCTCCATATTTTAAGTTTTCCTAGAGAACTTCTTCTTTGCATGACGTTTTAAAACTTGTTTTTCACTATTTTTTTGTTTATGTATTTAAAAATTATTTCAAGGATCCTTTCTTGTACTAAGGTTTTATGTTAACATGTATTTTACTTTTCAAAACATTTTCCTTCTAGCCTTAATTTTTATGTTTTATTTACATATAATTCTAGAATATTCGAGTGCGGGCAGTAAAAGGCCAAGAATATCTTTCAAAAACAGGAGCCAAATTTCATGGGAAATTGGAACAGAAATTTCTGTTAATTGACTGCCAGAAAGTTATGTATGGTTCTTACAGGTAAGATTATGTAAATTATGTATGGTTCTTACAGGTAAGATTACAGGTAAGATTGTGTTTGCCTCTCACATTAATAATCTTTTATAGAACTTTATTAGTATTATATTTTAATGTAATCTGTTCAGTTCTATTTTAACTGAGTTATGATTGATATGTAACATTATATTAGTTTCAGGCATAGTGGTTTAATATTTGTATATAATGCTAATGATCACCATAATACTTCTAGTTAATATTCATCACCATACATAGTTACAAAAATATCTTTTTGTTTCCTTTTGATGTGGGCTTTCAAGATTACTTTCTTAGCAACTTTTAGATATGCAATATGGTATTATAAACTGCGGTTGCCATACTGTACATTACATACATGACATCCCCAGCACTTACTTATTTGTAACTGGAAGTTTGTACTTTTGGACACTCTTCACTCATTTCATTATTTCAATGAGTTAAAGTCCATTCATGTTGTTGGCAAATGGCAAGATTCCATTCTTTTTTTATGGCTGAAGAGTATATCACATCTTCTTTATCCATTCACCTATTGAGGGATACTTAGGTTGCTTCCATATCTTGACTATTATAAATAATAGGCAATGTGGTGAACATAGAGGTACTCATTTTTTTTTGAGTTAGTGTTTGTTTTCTTCAGATAAATATCCAGAAGTGGCATCCGTAGGTCATATGGTGGTTTTAATTTTTTGAGGAACCTCGATACTATTTTCTATAGTGGCTGCACCAATCTGCACTTCCATCAACAATGCATGAGGGTTCCCTATTCATCACATCTTCCCAATGATCGCTATTACTTAACTTTTTTGATAATAGCTTAGTGTGTGTTTACCTACAGCATTATCAATCATTTATAGAAGTCATTAGTTTCAAATTTAATGTAACCTATTTAATTATTTCTTAAAAATAAAAAACAGAACCTTTGCATGGAAACTTAGAGACAGGTTTCAGTTCTGGCTGTACCTCTAAAGAACATTAAGACATTGGGCAAATCACAAAACTTCTTGAGCTTCAAGTTCTTCACCCAACAAATGAGGAGGTTGACTAATATCTGTTTCCATATAGCTCTACAATACAAAACGTGTTTTTTCTCATGAAAACAGCACATAGTATGGACTTAATGACAATTGTTCATAAAAATAGAAGCTGTTTATCATTTTTGAAGAAACTGTCAAACAGATTTTTCTTATTTCAGTACTATTAAAAATCTGATAATTATCATGTAGTCACCATAATACTACCAAAAATGCATTTAGGAGTCTGACTGCTAAAAATCTCATGGCAGACACTAGACAGGTGACTCAGACCTAGATTCTACTCCTGGAATGCTTCAGGGCTTCCACTGGTGATATATCTACTCTCTCCTAGCTTAGCTCTTTTGCACATTTCAACCCTGTCCTTACAACTTATCTGCAAAGCTATTGTTTTCATCTGTATTTTATAAATGATGAAATTGAAGTTCCAGTAGTTTAAGACACTTGTCTAAAACCTCACAGCCAAAGACCACAGACAACCCAGGTGTGGCAATACAGTCCAGATCCTGCTGGCTCCAGAATGTCAGTGCTACCCTAATATTCTCTTATCAACTTCAGGCATCAGTTCTGAATGGGATACACAGTGAGGCTACATCAACAGGCAGATGAAAGCACCAACAAGCATATACGCACTGCCAGGTCACCAGGGCAGAGTTGACACATCACTAAAGACTGTAGGAGGAAGCCAGGAGAGCTGTGGGTGTAAACAGGACAATGCAAGGGGAAACCTTAGGAACTTAAAACATCTAACAAGAAGGAGACACCATGTTAAAACGGAAGGCTCTGGGCAAGTTACTAGACTTGGTTGCACCTCAGCTCGCTCTTCTGTAAAAGGAGGATAATGGTAGAACTAACTTGTTGTTGTTGTTGTAAGAATTAGAGTCATGCTTCCAAAGCCTCTAATGTTAACTTATTTTAAGCCTTTAAAAAAAACTTAATCTGCTAACTTTCCTTATTCTAAGTGATCCTTTTTGAAAATGTACTTTGGAGTTCTAAAGGAAAACATATTAAGAGCAGAAATTACAACTAGTGCTTAAAATTAACGAGTCCTTTTAAAGACTCATTATTTGTGTATATGTTAGTTCAAATCACTTTTAGATAGCTTTTAATTGCAATTTTAATTAAAACTGGGAGTTCACTTGACTCATAGAATGGTGTTCGTTAGTTAATGTCATCATAATGAATGCTTACGACCATAGATTCATCAAAACTCTTCTCTAACAATTGTCTTTATGATTTCATGTATAGTTTAAATATATTTCTTTAAAAAATAATGGTTGGCAGCAGCTCTTGTCATTTTTGTTTTTCCTTACTAACTATCATGAACCTTTCCTATTAACAGTATTTAACTGGTGCAACAGTTATGAAACAGTCTTCACAGAAACTGGCTAAAATTGTATTTCCTTTCGGTTAAAACCATCCTTTGTCTCTCATGTTCTGTAATCATCATTGTTTTCCTCATAGGCAAAGTCAAAATGCCCTCTTGTTTGTTTCAAAATTCTTTGCTATAAAATGTCTTCATGTTTTGAACTCTCAGCATTTCTAGACAGGCTTGGTGTCTGTACTTACCACAGACACAGTTGTGTGACAGCCCACTCGTCATGACGATGGTTTTATCAACAAAACATGTTTTGCCTCATGTGTTTTTTTGGAGATAAAATACTAACACTGATGAGATAAAATACTTATATACTTTTTATCAGTGTATGTCAATTAGATTTTGAATTGGATACCCTCATTTAAAATTGTCATGTGAAAGTCTAGAAGATATTTAATATTGTCCACAAAATTGACTGACAGAATTTTATAAACTTTTTTCTTTAAGTATTGTGATACTTATAAAAGTTACTTTCAAAACATAAGTCTCACTGCAGTTATTGGCTCTACCATGCCATTCTGCTCAGACTTGAACATCATCACGTTCAGAAATCCATGCCACAACTAGTCACTGTTCTCATGCCATGGACTTAATGTTATTACCCCCAACCAGAAAACTCAAGAGTTCTGTCAGAGGGGAAGTGGGTTGGGGGACTGAGTGAAAACAGAGAAGGCATTAAGCAGTACAAATTAGTAATTGCAGAATAGCCACAGAGATGCAGTTTGCAGCATGTGGAAGAAAGTCAATAATGTCAGTATAATTGGGTATGGGTCCCAGTGGATGCTCGGAGCAGCTGAGGGGACCACTCTGTAGACTACGTGGTTTACTAGCCACTTTGCTGTACATTTGAAACTGGCACAGAATGTATTGAATGTAAACTGTGGTTGAAAAATAATATAAAATAGCTCTGGCTGGTGTTGATCAGTGGATTGAGTGCTGGCCTGTAGAATGAAAGTATTGCTGGTTCAATTCCCAGTCAGGGCACATGCCTAGGTTGCAGGCTAGGTCTCCAGTAGGGGGTATGTGAGAGTCAACCACACATTAATGTTTCTCTCCCTGTCTTTCTCCCTCCCTTCACCTCTCTCTAAAAATAAATAAATAAAATCTTTAAAAATATACTGTAAAATAATTCTTTTTATTTTTATCCAAGTAAATATATGCACATATTTTAAAAATTCAAGTACTAAAAGATATGCAATACAAAACATGTCTTATATGCCATCTCAATGAACTCCTAATTCCTGACTGCCAGATACTATTTAATTTTTTAGCTAGTTCTTCTGATATGTATTTTATTGTCTTACATAATGTGATTACACTGCTGATTCTTGACTTATCACTTTTAGATATATGATCTTTTGACTTTATATTATGGCAGTTGAGGAGTAATGTATTGTAACCACTCATATCCTCTTGCCCACCTGGCCCGCAGTCACCCAGTACAGTTTTATCACAATTTTTTGGTTAAGTGAGAAGTATGAGTTGACATTACTGAAGTTGTCTCAGAATTGATCATTAATGAGCAATGCAGTCAGTGCTTTATGATTGTTTCCTTCTTCATAACAAAGTTAATAATGACTATTTTATTTTGGTTTTAGTCATTGTCTTTGTTTTCTGTTTATTGCTATTTTTTTCCAGTTGACTACTCATTTCTTAGTACATAAAATCTTTTCCAAATGCTCAGTTACTACCAATGATCTGTGGTGTCCAATCTGGACCAGCAGGTCTTTAACCTGGGGCACAGCTGGGATCCGGGCATTTGCTATATTCTTGGGTAGTTTGACCTACAATTTTTCAAATCCCATTTTCAATCCCATCTTCAGCTCCTTTTTGTTTCCCAGTCATGGTTTTTCTCGAAAGTTTGATCAAGAACATTTTCTATCAGCATGGGATTTTTAAAGTCCAAAAATTTATAATTTTAGAGGATTTATGGTTTAACAGAAGATGAAACTCTTAAATTGAGCCATTTTACTCCAAATTTGGAAGCCATTGCCCTGCATTCAAATTGCTATTTAAGAAGTCTCAAACAGTTGTTATTCCAGTTTTCTTCATGTAACTTTTTTTTTCTTTCTGGAAGTGTCTAGGCTTTCCTTTTTACATGCTATTCTCAAATTTATTATGATGCTTCTAGGTATAGACCTTTTTTTCCTCTTGTTGTTCAGGGCAATCCAAATACTTGCACCTTTCAGTTCTGACAAGTTTTCTTATTTATTCTTTGATCATTTCTTCTCAATTATTTCTGTTGTCTCTCCCTGGAATTTTTATTAACTGAATTTCTGCTTCCATTGTATTATTTTTCCTACATTTTTCCATCCAGGGTTGGAGATGTTTCACTAACTGGGGGATTTTCTCAATTACATCTTTCAATGTTTCCATTATATCTTTTTTTAAAATTTTGCTATCAAATATTTTGAATATCTGCTACTTGAAATATTTTATAGCATCCTGTTCATGTTTCATAGATTTATTAGTTTTTCTCTTTATTTCTTTGAAGATATTAAGCATGTGTGTATTTATACATATTCTTATATGTGTATTTTCTGTTTCCTTCTCTAGGTACATTTTTTGTGTTTGCTTGGTTTGCTTTCAATTTTGCATCAAAGCTTTTAAGCTTTATAAGCAATCTTCTAAACTTTATTGTAATGTCTGTCAATCCTTTGCAATGCCTTTATATTTAAGAATGAATGAGTATAGAACTTACTAGAAACTGTGTGTGAAATGCTTATCAACAGCTGAGTTCACAGAACAGTGATTGGCTGGGATCCTGGAAATTGTGCAGGAAGATCCTTTAATGTTGGTATAAGTTGTCCTTGCATCTCTAGGAGTGGTCACTGTTTTCAGAGGATAATCTCTAAATTAAATATTTCCAATCAAATCTCTTTCTATTACCTGAAACTCTATTACAATATTATTTTCTGGTTTACCAAAGCCTAGAACCTTTTCCAGTTGCCACACATTCACCAGTACCATTGTCTTCTCAGATTCCTAAGTTCCATACCTGGAGATAATCTTATTTCGTAACCTATGCATATTCTTTATGACGTACAAATATTCTTATTCTTCTTGTTACTGGCTCGATAATTTTACTCATTATTCCAATTTCTGCTCAGATTTTGTGTCTTATCACATTATTCCAACTACTTTGTTCATCATAGTAAATGAAATCCTTCATCTTTCAAGTTTATACTACAAGTAGTTGTGAAGAAAAAGTCATTCTCCAGACATCTCCTTTTATTATAATTTATTCAAACTTGGGATCAGATTTTATACAAACTGCTTTGCTTTCAAGGTTCATCCATCTCTTATATTATTTTTTAATGCAGTTAAATATAAGTTGATTTCAGTTTTCTGTAATACATGGTCATTATTGCTTCCTTTTTCTATGTTTCTTCTTCCACACAAATGGTCCTCCCATACTTTTCTTTCATGTCTGAACTTCAAAGTTACCTAGTTTCTATCAAAATATTGCTAAAATCTCACTTTCCTGAAGGATTTTTCATATTTGATAGCTGACTTTTCATTTCTTAAGGTTTCTAACGTACTTTATATTCACTTCAGTTTGATTGAAAATTTCTTCAATAATTCACTTTTGTACCATATGTTTTAAGTCAGGCTGGTGACCAACACATCTGTAAATACAAAATACCTAGTAAATATCCTGTTCATACCATTGATTCAATAAGTATTCTAGATAAAATTAAGCATATCAAAATAAGTTGCAGACTGCTGTTGATAATATTTTATATATTTTAAATTATTACTCTGCACATTTTAAAAAATATCTTCATTTGCCTTTATTATAGTCTCCTTTGTGTAAATAATAAACTCCTTCATTGTGGAGAATGTGTTTATCTCCCTTTTTATTGTATTAAAACCTATTGTATCATGTACATTATTTGATACATAACATATTAGTGATTTTCTTCTTTATCAGCTCAGTGACTCTGTATGTTTATTCAGATTTTCAAACATCAGATTTAAAATCTTATATGAAATGTCAAAATAACTGTTAGCTCTAAACTCTGGAACAGACAGGAATTTCCATAAAGTGCTATCCTAGCACCCTAAATTATACTTACTCAGCAAGTCACAGAGAGAAAACATATGTATTAGTACAGAGCTGTTTTGCACTGTGACATGTTGGAACTACAAGGAATTGTAACAGTTATGTTATTCATGCCCTCATATTATACATGAGGAAACAGAGGCCCTAGCTCACGAGACAGGAGAGCTTAGCAGTAGCCAGTTCTCTCAGCTTTTCCTGTGATGCTAGCTTTCTTGAACCCTCCCAGGAGGCATTTTTTCACTCTACAAATTCTTACTAGGTAAAGGTACAAAGTGCAACATGGCTTTTCTTTGGACTTCTTATAAGTAATGTAAGGAATTATAGTGGATTCAAACCCAAGACTTGAGTTGATTTGTTATTTAAAGTATGAATATGGGAGTGGGGCAACATATCCATATTATAAGCATGTAATGATCGGAGCTATTTTCAATGATGACAATCCAGAAAAAAAACTCTTTTGTCAGCAATAAATGACACATATTTTTAGTGGACCTATATATATTGTCACTAATCTTTTAACTCAGCAAACATAAAATTTTCCAATTTTGATTTTTTTCAGCTATATGTGGTCATTTGAAAAAGCTCACCTCAGCATGGTTCAGATAATCACAGGACAGCTCGTTGAGTCTTTTGATGAAGAATTCAGAACTCTCTATGCCAGATCATGTATCCCCAGCTCATTCGCTCAGGAAGAGTCAGCCCGGGGGAAGCGTGGCAAAGCTCTGTGGGAGAACGGCACTTACCAGCGTTCAGTCTCTTCATTAGCTTCTGTTTCCAGCCAACGAAACTTTCTTGGTAGACAAGACAATACTCATAAACTAGATCCTGGTTACTTCAAAAACAGAGGGATATACACCCGGAATGAACATGACAAGTATGGCATAAGAAATCATGGATACAAACCTCCTTTTGTTCCAAACTTGAATGGGCCAAATACAATCCGTCAGTATCAGCCCAGTCAGAATGAAAATTGGAAGAGGCACAGTTATGCTGGGGAACAGCCAGAAACAGCACCATACCTGTTGCTGAACAGGGCTGTAAATCGAAACATCAATCCTCCTGGTAATTGGAAAAAGTCTTCAGATAGTTTGGCATCCTCATCACGGGGAGGCTATGCTAGCCACCATAACACACCTCCCCAGAGTTTTGGGAATTGGCTTGCCCAGAGGAAGACAACACATTTTGCAGAAAGGAATTCAAATGTGCGGAGGTCTTTTAATGGGACAGATAATCATGTTCGCTTCCTGCAACAACGAATGCCAACCCTGGAAAATACGACAAAGTCATTCTTGCGAAACTGGAGAATTGAATCCTACTTAAATGATCATTCAGAAGCTGCACCTGATTCTAATGGATCAGCTCTAGGTGACCGGCTTGAGAGCTATGATAGTTCTGAGAATTTGAAAGCCAATGCCCTTTATACACATTCTCGGCTTCGCCCCTCTCTTGTGTTTAAACCAACTTTACCTGAGCAGCAGGAAGTTAATAGTTCTGCAACTGGCTCCTCAAATTCAACTATCATTGGTTCCCAGGGAAGTGACATACCTAAAGAGGTCCCAGATACCCCTACAAGTGTAGAGCATTCAACAGACAAACCTTTGCCAGAATCAATCCCCGAGCTACCATCACGGTCAGAGATGCCAAAAATGCACCCCTCGAGGGTTCCTGAAAACCACTCAGAAGTCTTAAACCAAACTACGAGTGGCCATACCGAGTCAAACAACTACTTATATACAAATCTGTGTGTAAATAAGCAGACAGAAAATCTAAAGAATCAACAAAATGATAATATGCTTAAAAGACGAAGTTTCCCATTCTTTGACTACTCAAAAGCCAATTTAGATCATGGAAATAGTAAGCATTATGTATATAGCACACTTACCAGGAATCGAGTCAGACAGCCAGAAAAACCCAAAGAGGACTTGCTGAAAAGTTCTAAAAGCATGCACAATGTGACTAATAGCATAGAAGAGCAGGAGGAGGTGGTCCAGAGAGAGCCTTCAGGTGGCACAACTACCAAGTCGGTTTCCATTGCTGCTTTGCTTGACGTGAATAAAGAGGAATCTAACAAAGAACTCACTTCAAAGAAAGAAGTTAAGAGTTCCCCAAGCTTTTTGAAAAAGGGGTCTCAGAAGTTGAGGTCCTTACTTAGCCTTACCCCAGAAAAGAAAGAAACTCTATCCAAAAGTAAAACATCTCCCTTTTATAGGATGTGTAGTAGTTCTGACACTTTAGCTTCTGAGGCTGAAGACAATCAAAACCCAAGGAAGTCAGAACCAAAAGTTGATTCATCTCCTAGAAGAAAGCATACTTCCTCAACAAACTCCCAAAGCAGCATCCACAAGAGTAAGGAAGATGTAACAGTCAGCTCATCTCAGGGGATAAGTTCTGCATCCAATGAAAATAATGAAATAATACCTTCTCCAGGTCCCACTGAAAACAAGTTCTTAGACAGGGCAGGGGATGCATCTGCCCCAAGATTTAATACAGAACAAATCCAATACCGAGATTCAAAGGAGATTCGTACTGTTGCTGCTCCTGGAAGAAAACCAGCTTCTTCAAGGCCAAAGCCCAATGAGCTTGTGAGGACTCATTCAACTGACCGGCGCATTTATAGTCGTTTTGAGCCATTTTGTAAGATTGAAAATTCTATTCAGCCAACCAGCAACCTGCCAAATGCCAATATACACCGCCCAGAAATAAAATCCTCAACTATGGGTAATAGTTATGGCAGGTCCAGCCCACTGCTGAATTACAACACTAATGTTTACCACGCATATCAGCCAAATGAGAACAAGTTTCGAGGATTTATGCAGAAGTTTGGAAACTTCATACACAAAAATAAATGAGATACTATAATTGCAAATAGATATTAAAATACAAAATGAATGTGGCTATAAATATTTGTCTAAAGAACATTGTGGACAGTTTTTGTAACATGCCAATAGATTTCTGTAGGGGCAAAATTTGGGGTATGATGTATATTTTTACCAACTTACTATGTAAAGTTATTCTGTGTGATAAAGTTGATTGTGCTTAATTATACTAATGGAATGGCTCTATAAACATCATTTTTAAATGGTAAAGGTAAAAAATGTAATTACATTGTTTTCTTCAGATTGAACACGTTAAATCTCAAAAAAAACTTAATGGCAAAATGGTATATGGATTTTAACCATTTATTCCAAAGTTTTTCCTTTCATTTAAAGTCTTTTCTTTTATAAAAGTATCCTAATACTATCAGTGGCCCTTTATAACACATCTTTATAGGGCTCTCATAACTTCAGGTTATGAGAAAATAAGAAAAAGCCTTCTGGTTTTAAATGGTCTTTAAATTTTATAGGATAACTTGTTATGTTTTATTAATGTTTTATTACTTTTCCTGTGGAGCATACATAACAGGCTGGTTGGCACAGTAAAATTTAAACTATGTAGCTCAACATACATTTTTTTATTGTGTCTGAGGGTGCTGGCGAAGTATGGACCTCAGGTGGTACAAGGACATCACAGGAATTTGCTCTCCTTCTTTCCTGAGAACCATCCAGGATGTGCTTCTTTCCACTTTCCCAGGGAGGCTGTATATCACTCACCAGTCGGCTGCCAGCCTTGGTCGTTTCTTCCTTCAAACTTACAGCAAGCCCACAGGAATTGGAAAACCTGAATTATTCCTACCCTTTTCCTAATATAAAGTATTTTAGAGAACATACATTTCTACATAAATTTTTATCTTAATATTGGTATGACAATGCTTAGGTGTTTTGATTGCAAAAGTCTTTGCTCTTTTCCACATGCTGTGCCAAATACAGTGTGACTGGGGTGCAGTCATGGGTGTGAGAAGTGGTGCTCTCATCTATTCTGCCATGAGCAGGGGCCCTAGCTGAAGAGTTCAAGACTTTTTAGATTTTGATTTAATGAGGGTACTCAGATCATGAGCTACCCTGTGCCTTTCTGAGAGTAATGAAAGTTCCATATCCATTACAGAAACTTTAACTTGGCTTTACTTCATCCACAAAGAACAGAATTCAAGAAACAGGGCACCATTTGAAAAATGGAAAGTGTTTCTACAACACTTTAAATTTCACACCTACTAAGTTGCTGTATGGGGTAGTATTTTAAAAATGCAAGATTTATTCAGATATTATCTATGTTACTAAATAATTAAAATAGTGGCATTAAAATATCTATGTCATTTGAATAATTTTCCATAAAACCATGATAAGAAATATGATGGGGGAAAACAAGACAGTTGGGAAAAGAAAACATATATTGAATACTTACCCTAGACCAAGTCTTGAGCCTGAACCTAAAGCAACCTCAGCAACATTTTGTGGGTACCACTGCCCTCCTTATTTATAGTTAATGATCAAGGTGATAATTGAGACACTGAAATTCAGACACATAATGCTCCAAGTCACATAAATAATAAGTAAAGGTACTAAGGTGTCTATAACATCCTGGCACATAACATTACTTCCCAAATGTGTTCAACTTCTGCCTTGCCCAAACTATTAGGAATTAAATGAGAAAAATGTTTATATTTCCTGACCCAAACAGCATTCAACCAAAAAGGGTTTAGCTGAATTCTACCAGACAACAAAGACACATGGGGCTTAAAATAACCATAGTAGGTGGGATTAAGGAATTAAATTGAGGTTGGTTTCTAAATGTAACCTAGCAAGCCAGTTTTGATTGCTAGGCAGTCATTTTGATCCTCTTCTAGTTGACCCGTGACAATGAGAGGAAAGGAAGAGGAACCACTAGTGAGCTCTGACCTGCTTCTGTACTAGAGAAAAAAAGCCCATTAGGGTAGGAAGCTAGACAGTGAATGGAACTTAAATATATAATCTAGATGAATATTCACAGTAAGTCTGTGAAGTAAGTATCCCTTTTTTAAAAAATAAGGAAACTAAACCACAAAGAAATTAGTTAAGTTTCCAAGAGTTACACAACTCTGAATTGGCAGAACTGGGGTTTAAACACAAAAGCCTGTATTTTTAATGCTATACCACACCATACCTTACTGGCCTCTTATTCCTCTAGGCTTGAGGAAACTCCTTTGAAAGTCATCACTCTCTTTTGCTCTCCCTTTACAAATTGCAAAAATATAACAGGAACTAGAGAGCAACAGCACTTAATAAACAGATTGAGAATATACTATTCAGTTTTACCTCATTCACTAAAGTAGGTTTTAAACCTCTCATTAAAACCTAGGGAATTCCCAAGTACTGCAACATAGCATTTTATTGCTTTGGTAAATTGAGTGTAATAGAGTGAAAATTCTGCACTGTAATAAATAAATAAATTTATTTATTATAGTTTGTAATAAATTAATAGCCTAAAAATAAAACTTGTAGAGGGGAAGAGTCATTTTTCATAGTAAAGGTAACCAGGGATATTTATAAAAACAAAAAACTTTGAAATGTGTATTTCCTTGTAATAAGAAATGGAATTCAGTTGCATTAAAAAAAAGCTACTTCTGATTGTTAGTGGGTTGATTTTAGAGTCATCTAGAAATTGTAATATCTTCACAGACAGTGCCAGGTTATTTTAAAGCATTAGAAGTGAGTGAGAGATTTTTAATGTTGCTCTTAGGAAAACTGATTTCTGTCATTCTGGACCATAGTCCTTGTCATGCATTTAAGAAAGGCAGAACCCACAGTTAACCAAACCAGATAAACTTTAATGTAACACCCATTCTTTGTTACTTTTAGTTGGGGCATCTTTCAGAGATAAAGGGATAATGGGCTAATTGTCATTAGGAAGCTCTGAAAACACAAATCCTAAAAATTTAGAGCACTATAACTTTAAAGCTGAAATTACAAAGAGACTAGAGTGTAAATCATGTTTAATAAGAAATAGGAACTTGTTACCTTTTTGTACAGCAACTACCATCCGTTCTGGAAACAGCTTTAATAGTTCGTTGAGTTCCTCCTCTCCCTAGTGAAACTGGGAAGTATTGGATGCTTTGTTTTATGCACTTGTGATGGGCAGCTTAGGCTTTTGCACAGCACATTTATTCTTTGCCATTTTCTTTATTTTCCTTCTATTTTTTCTTCAGAAATATATAGATATCAGAATCTGTTCATAGAGTAAGTTTTCAAAGTTTTACCGTGACTCAGCAACTCCTCAAGGTTAAGGCTGAATGAGTGCACAGTGCTTCAAATAATTACTCACAGTTTGAGTTATAAACAGACACTCCAAACTTCATGGATGTATTTATTTCAAGCAATATAATTTCTTTTTCCCCCAAATTAATATTGGTGGAAAGATAGTGTCATGTAAGTGTACTTTCACATTAAAGTTTGATAAGGTAGTTTTTACTCTCTACATAGTACATTAATTTGTAAGCAGAAACTCAAGAAAACAGGTGTGATTTCAGGGTTCTTCACACATAGCTTCAGAACAGTTTAAGTGCCTGTATCCTGAACACATTAATGTCCCTCTGTTATACGATAGGGTTTAGCCACAATTCTGACGTGGTGTGTTATGGTACGAGTATGGGGAACATGTTGGTAGTCTCACTTGGGCAAGCAAATATGCTATTCAATGAAGATGACATCTGGTGTGATATGGATAAGCAGGAAGAAGGTTGAACTCTGACTGCATCCAACTAGAACTTTTCTCAAGATTATCTGGTTAGTTAACTATTCACAAATATCTGTATTCACAGATATTTGACTTTTATGGATATCTGTTGATTCTTAATGTGCCTATGGCTAAGGGATATAAAGGAGGATCATTATTTCATGTTAACTGTGTGTGCTGCTGTTTTTTAAAGTTTATCATAATATTCAATTTGGTTCTAGAATATCCAAAGTAAAAAGGATGAAATTATAAACCAAATAGTCAAGTTTTAATATATAAACTGTTAGCAAAGAAATATTCTTCCAAATTAACTTTTGTTTTTAAATCTAATAAATGAATATTAAATAATTTTGTACAAACGTCAAAGTATTGTAAGTTGTTTATTTTTTATCTTCATACCATGGATCTTCACATAAGCTTATATTTTCAATTAGTTATTATACTATGAATTTGGATTTTATACATTTTTAAATATGTTTCCATAATTTTAAATGGTTTTATTATGCTTCTTTTTACAGAGAGGGGTAGGAAGGATAAAAAAGAGGGAAAGAAACATTGATGAAGGAGGAAATATCAATCGATTGCCTTTCACATATGCCCCAACCTGGGGCCAAATGTCCAACCCAGGCATGAGACCTGACCAGGAATTGAATTGGAGATATTTTGTTTTGCAGAATGATGCCCATCCAACAGAGGCACACCACTTAGGGCATATTTCTCCATAAATTTTGAAACCATGTCTTAAACACTTTTAGCTTTATTTTGATCAGCAATTATATTTTATATAATTTATCCATATTTGATATTGTGACAATATTCTTTCCTTAACAATACTATATACACTCATTCTCTTTATTTCTATTTCAACTTCAATATAGTAGTTATTTTAAATAATGTGACTTTGAAAAATAGGTAATTTATTTCATTCAAAAATTAGTAACTGATTTGTATGACTTTGTAGCATTTAGTTTGAGTAAAATATTCTAAAGGAACATTTATGTTAGATCAGTTAGTGATATTAAATAAGCTAAAGTCTGAAAGTAATTAAAAACTTAAAATGTATTTTCCTTAGAAAAAAATAATTTCTCTTATATCACAGATTAAGATACAGTTGAAATACTGTGTTTTAGAAATTTAATACCATCTTTGTAAAGGCAAATGTGATTTTTAAGTAGGTAAGTATAATTTTAAGTAAAAACAATTTTTAATTTATTTACCGTAAATGCTGATGTTTAAGAAAAACCTTGTTCAATGGAATAGAAAGGGAAATAGATAAGGTTTTACTTTTTGCAGCCACCATAAAGGAAACTTGTGAATAGGCTCAGTTGATTTAAGTAGTCAAAGACTATCCGGAGGTAATTGGACTAGATAAACACAAGTGCATTGAAAGGAGTAAATGTGTACCCTGCCTGGAGAAAAGAATCAGGTGCAGTGGCATTACCTGTGCTGAAAGCAGTAGGAAACAGAAGCAAGGAATATATATAGAAGAAAACTCTTAACAAAGAAAAGTATAACATCAATCTGGATATTTTTCTCATAATGATCTGTTCCAACAGATTATTTATGTATTTAACACTCATACTAGGAATCTTTGTTGCATTTATGTAGGTTATGGTAGACTTTTGAGTAAGTAAAAAGAAATTTAAAAAATGTCTTGAGTAATCAGAGGCTGTACAAGTTTCATGTGTTTTAAGACTAGCCCAAACTAACAGCAAAAATATGTATGCTGAGACCTAAGATGTCAGAGAAGTGGAAGCTACACTAACCTCCTCCCAGGACAAATCTGAAATTAAAACTAAATTGTAGAGAAATCATCCTGAATAACCAACTGGACACTAGCTGCAGAGAAGCCTTATAACCAAGGACAGACAGAAATAACCACTTCACCACAATGCGACAAGTACGGAGTGTGGAGGAGGCACAAGAGGGCTGGCTGAGCTCCCAGGAACGGCATCTGAAGTTTCAAAGGAATATTTCAAGGGCCATGGGGTTCCTTCTGAGACTGTGGGGTGTAGCCCAAGCTGAGATCTCCAGCTTATAGCACCAGAGACAGGAAAGGAATCCAGATAATATCCAGCTGTGAAAAACAGCAGAATTTCTGTCTGCCTGGGAGAGATGGTAAGAGATACAGAGAGCCTATTAAAGGTCCAACACACAAAAAAAATTTCATTTGCAGCTACTTACCCTGGGCTCCAGCAAAGGGAAGAAAGAGTGGACCAGAGATGCATGAGTGGTCTGGGGTGGTGGCTCTGGGGAAAAAACTGAAGCCACCAAAATACCTGTGCTGAGTCATTCCCCATACTGCACAAGTCATTTTTCTTAGGCAGAGCACTCCCCTCCAAGTGGCATCGGCTTGGGGGAAAGCAATATCCACATCTGCAGGAATTACTCTGCCACACCCTGTGGAACTTAAGCCAGCCTGCTGAGTACAGCTTGAGGCTATATCATTAATTAGGTTTAACAACTAAGGCTGATTTCTAGGAGCTCTGAGACTTTAGCTGACCTTCCTGCAGGCCTGGTGCTGATAAAAGCCAGGCCTGGTGCTCAGCCTGGTTCATTCGGCACACAAACAAGCCCAGCACAGAGGACCACGTGCTATGGATGACTGATAGCCCTAAACAGGTTGTACAGGGACCAGTCACAAGCAGTGTCTGACAAAGGTCTGCTCTGGAATCTTTGCAAATCTACCTAATACATAGAAATAAATACAAAGAAGCAGCCAAAAATGAGAAGACAAAAAACAGACCCCAAAAGAAAGAACAAGAGAATTCTCCAGAAGAAGAATTACATAAAATAGAGGCAAGCAATCTATCAGAGAGTTTAGAGTAATAATCATAAGGATACTACTCAGCACCATGAAAAAAATAAATATAAACTATAAAAAAGAACCACTCAGAAATAAAGAGTGAAATATCTGAAATAAATAATACACAGAAAGGAATAAACAGTACATTAGATGAAGCAGAGGATTATATCAGCGATTTGGAAGACAAGGTAGGAAATATATGCAAGCATAGCAGCAGAAAGAAATAAAAGAATTTTTTAAAAAATGAGAGCTGAAGAAGCATTATACACAACATGAAGCGTAACAACATGAAGCATAACAACATTCACATCATGGAAATACCAGAAGGAGAAGAGAGTGAGCAAGGGACTGAGAACCTATTTGAAAAAATAATGACAGAAAACTTCCCTAATCTGGTGAAGGTAAATCCAAGAAGCGCAAGGAGTCCCAAACTAGTTGGACTCAAAGATGCCTGCACTGAGACATATCATCATTGAAATGGCAAGGTTTAAAGACAAGAAGAGATCCTAAAAGCCACAAGAGAAAAGGTGGTAATTAAATACAAAGGAACACCAATTAGACTGTCATCTGATTTCTCAACAGAAACATTTCAGTCTAGAAGGGAATGGTGTGAAATATTCAGGGTGATGAAAAGCAAGGACCTACAACCAAGGCTATTTTACTCAGCAATGTTATTATTAAAGTAGAAAGAGAGATAAGGAACTTCCCAGACAACACAAAGCTAAAGGAGTTTGTAAACACCAAACCAAAACTGCAACAAATGTTAAAGCACTTGCTTTAAGAAGGAGAAGAAAAAGAGAAAGAAAAAAAAACAGGAAAATAGTCTAACAATAAAATGGCATAATATGTACCTATCAATAATCACCCTAAATGTAAATGGTTTGAATGCTCTGAACAAAATACACAGGGTAGCTGAATGGATAAGGAAACAAGACCCATATATATGCTGCCTCTAAGAGACCCACCTCAATAAAGAGATACACACAGACTAAAAGTAAAGGGGTGAAAAAATTATTTCATGCAAATGGAAAAGAAAAAAAGCTGGGTCGCAGCACTTGTATCCAACAAAATATACTTCAAAACCAAGGCTAGAGTAAGAGACAAAGAAGGATACCATAATAATAAAGGGAAAAACCCAACAAGATGATAATGCTAGTAAACATTTACACACAAAACTTAGGAGCACCTAATTATGCAAAGCAAATCTTGATAGGTATAAAGGGAAAGACTGACAAAAGTACAGTCATAGTCTGGGATTTTAACACCCCATTGACTGCAATGGGTCAGTCTTCCAGATGAAAATCAACAAGGAGACAGTGGCCTTAAATGACACTCTAGATTAAATGGAGCTGACTGATATTTTCAGAGCAATTCACCCCAAGAATATACGTACTTTTTAAGTGCACATGGAACATTTTCCAGGATAGACCACAGGTTAGGACACTAAACAAGTCTCAATAAATTTAAGGACTTTGAAATCATATCAAGCATGATCCATGAAACTAGAAATCAATCACAAAAAGACCACTGAAAAACACACAAAGACATGGAAGCTAGATAACATGATATTAATCAATGAATGGGTCAACAATGAGAAGAGGAAAGAAAATGAAAGATATCTTGAAATAAATGAAAATGAGGACACAACAATCCAAAATCTGTGGGACACAGGGAAAGCAATCCTAAGAGGGTAATTCACAGCATTACAGGCCTATCTCAAAAAAAGCAAGAAAATGCTCAAATAAACAATCTAACTTTATACTTACAGGAACTTGAAAAACAACAACAAACAAGGCCCAAAATGACTAGAAGGAAGGAAATAATAAAGATCAGTACAGAAATAAATGAAATAAAGTCTAAGAAAATGATACAGAAGATCAATGAATCTTCATTGAAAAGATAACCAAGCTGCTTCTTTGAAAAGATAACCAAGCTTGACAAACCTTTAACCAGAATCATCTAGGAAAAAAGACACAGGACCCAAATAAATAAAATCAGAAATGAAAGAGAAGAAACTGACACCAAAAGTTACAAAGGACTATAAGAAAATATTATGAACAATTCTATGCCAACCAAGTGGACAACCTAGATGAAATGAATACATTCCTTGAAATATACATATTCCATAAATAAATCAGGAAGAATACAGAAGAATCTGTATAGACAGATTATACCTAGTAAAATTGCACAGTAATCAAAAAATCTCCCAACAAAAAAAAGTTCTGGGCTGGATGGGTTCACAGGTGAATTTTACCAAACATTTTGAGAAGAACATATAACTCTCCTTCTCAAACTATTTCACAAAAATTGAGAGGAGGGAAGGCTTCCATATTCATTTTACAAGGCCAGCATTATCCTAATTCCAAAAACACATTAAAGACACCACAAAAAAGAAAATTTTAGCCCAATATCCCTGATGAACATAGACTCTAAAATTCTCAACAAAATATCACCAAACCGAATACAGCAATATATCAAAAAGATCATATACCAGGATAAAGTAGAATTTATTCTGGGAATGTAAGGTTGGTACAGCATTTGCAAATCAA